GGAAATTTCACGACTGGATTTGTTGCACAGGTGGCATCCTATGACAGTTCCACGCTGGAATTCACTGAGCTCCTGAGAGCGGCCCATTCTTTCACAAATGTCTTGTTTCACAGTCTGCATGCCTGAGTGCTTGATTTTATACACCTGTGGCCAGGCCAAGGGATTAGGACACCTGATTCTGATCATTTGAATGGGTGAGCGAATACTTTTGGTAATATAGTGTATATATATAAATATCAACCTTTCAAAACCAAATCAATGTTAACAAACCCCTAGGTTGAGACACAAACACAGCAACCATGACACACACAGTTTTCATGAGTTCATGAACCTTACAACAGTAAATGTGACTTTGTGGTTCATGAGTGTACTTATGACTCATAACCATTTCTGACAAGAACAGACGGGTTCTTCTGATCCCTCTGTGCATGATGCTGTGACTCAAAGAACAGATACATCATCACATCATGTCATGGCTGCCTGTAAACAATTACACAGGAACCAACAAGTACGTTGAGTTTTTACACACTGTCTTCCGTTGTTCCCACCACAAAAGGCATTTAAAAACTCTTTTTTTTTCCATACACCAATGCAATTTGGATTACGCAGCTGTTGCTGGATCACAACAAAGCAGGAAATTGCCCAAAGGCCAAAGCAGGTCATTAAAAAAAGATCAAAGTGGGTAGGGTCAGAATGTTCTGACTCAGCAGTGGAACAAGTAAAAGTAGTAGTTCCATGTTTGATAAACAACCTTTGACAACAAACAACCTGTTCATCTTCAACACAGCAGCTGTTTACTGATCACTGTCAGACAAACAAGAACGGAGCTTCATGTTCCAGAACAGAATATCTGAGAAAGTTCTGCTGCTTTACTGCAAGCGTGACCTCACAAATACACAAACAAGTGCTGTTAAAGGGACAGGCCAGGTCTGTTATGGTAAGGTCGAGGAGGTTTGACCTTACAACACTTCTGATAAAATCTCTGCCACTTTCTGAAGAACAAGTTCACTGCCTTATCACATTATAAGATGCAGCATTCCAACAGGAAATTGATTTTTGCAACACAATAGTTTTCTTGTCTTTACCTCATAAAGAACATACTTTAGAAATCCTGAGCTGCCCCTTTAAATGTTGAGCAACCTTTCCTCCACTGGAGCAAACCACCACCCTCCTGCTGCTTTCCTGTAATAGCGTCAATAAAAGGTTTTCTTGATAAAGCCCACAAAGACCTTCTCTGCCTCAGTGTCACATGTTGGAGTGCTGACTAGTGACTAGTGAAAAGAAATCCAGAGCAGACATGAGGTCTGAGCTTCAGGCTGGAACAAACAGCTCCAGAGGAAGTTCCCATTTTAAAATGTAGGAGATTTTTCTGGAAACCGTAAGTGTCTCTTAATCTACAACAAGATCTCTGTACTAAAGAAAGAACAAGAGCACGAGACACACCGTGCTATAATACCATATTGTCACTGTCATATACTGCAGATGCTTAATACCTCTTAATCTCAGTAAATATTTCAAACCTCTTTCTGACCTGTACTCTGTGACAATGTGTTATACCTTACACAGATGTAAAACTCATACTTAACTAATTCCTACCAAACATTTTAATAATATCTTTAGAGTAAGGTCAAATAAGAGCTAGGGTGAGTCTGGGTCTTTTTAATAAAAGCTGGGGTAAGTTGGGGATTTTTCCAGCCTAGTACTGTTGAGCAGTTTTCCTTTTCCTTGTCGTGGTTGTGCCATTTGGTGTGTGAGATCAGCAGCTGAACACACCATGAAAAACAAACTAAGGTGTGACTTCTCTGCAGCAGTAACATACTCATGCGGAGGAAAGCTGAACCCTGCTCATGTTTCAGGAAAAAGCCAGTCACACAAGGAGAGAGAGACAGAGAAAGAAACCGCTGATGTTTTATTACATGGCTCTGTAACTCTGTCATACAACGACATGTTTTTTCCCACTTGAGAACAATTGTTAAAGAGCTTTTCTATACTAGCTGCCAGTGATGATAGCAATGAGACATGTATTAAATACCTTGAACCTTGAAAGCCCCCTTTGGTTGGTAGACTTCTTTACAAGTTTCCAAGCCTTTTTTCCAGAGGCTAATGTATGGACACATACTTTTTAAGACACATTGAGAACCTCTGATATTTTCTGTGAATTCACAGTGAGCTGCTAAAAGCTGTCAGGATTTTTTTTATAGTCTATATTAATCCTGATGTACGACTACATGCCACAATGTATGTAGCAAATAAATTCAGTATTTGTTACATCAGTGATGTTGCTCCTCTCCTACTTTTTAGAATCTCTACATTACAGCAGTTTCTTTACTAAGTCATATTTTATGTTTTATTGTCTGAAAGAAAAACACATTGTTCCACACACAATAAACCTTAAATACAGTAAAGCAAATAATAGTTTAAAGCCTGATATATAAAATAAAAACAAAAGCACCACAACGAAGTGTGAGCACTATGTAATATTCAAATTAGGTACACATGAAAACAATTCCACAATCACAATCTTGAAGATATATTTGAAAGGATTTTTAAAAAAGACAGTCAGGAAGAGACCACAAAGCAGCATTGGTCGTGTTTGAGTGGAAGGAAACTGGTGTATTTTTAAAACAGCAGTCCTAGTGAAGACAATAAGTATTTTTGTTGAACTAAAGCCTAACACGGTGCTGCCTCTCTGCTCTTTGTTTCTTCTTTATTCCTTTGTCTCTGCTGCTTCCTCTTCAGACACGGGGCTCATTTTCGACCTCCTGCCTCCTCTTTCTGGCTACGTGGCCACAAACGTCACATTTGCCTATGTCTCCCTGAACAAAAACCGCATCATATGAGTAGTAATAAACACACTGAAGCATTTCCAGTCCATGAACAGAAACATAAAAGCCAAAAACGAAGATTAGCTTCGCCTCCTTCCTCCTGTTTTACCTTGTAATTTTCTCTTTTGAGCTGCGCAGCAACCACAAACGAAAAGCTTTAAAATCTTCACAACATTCGGTACTTAGGATAATTTCTGTTTAGCAGAAGAATCTCAGAGATAATTTCTCAACTCTACTCACTGCTCGTGAACGTTCTATTTGTGGACAGGAATGGGCTGAGCTGTGGCTGCCATCCCCCAGCTGCAGCAGCAAAAACAAACAAACAAACAAACAAACAAACACAGACACACAGTGGAATCACAAACAACAACAGAAGCAAAACCAAACCTGTCTGTTTTTCTCTCATACATTTGAACACATTTCGATCGTCATTTCGATGCTCATGATATTTGAGCTCAGAGTGACGAGAAAATGGAGGATACTTTGATCGCTATTTGCTTGGACAGTTTAACTAAGATCAAAATCTGTCTTTGACTTTGTGGAGGAACAAATAACACAACCAAATGGCGACTCACTAAGAAACAAATGAAACAAAAACAAGAGTCGAGACACCGACAACAACTACAAAAAACAGAAGAATCAAAAGACGAAGAGAAAAACACCTCAAACCATCTGTTAAAGCCAAACCGTAAAAGTGTGAACTGCTCTATTTCCAACAAACCATATTTGATCTGTGGAGTCTGACATCTCTGTGGTGTCGTTACTTTAACACAAAAATTAGCTCACAACGAAACTATTTTAATAACCTTTAAGGAAATAATTAAGTATAAAAAGTAAAAATATTATCCAAAAACTACATATATATATATATAATAAAACTCGACTCGTTTAACTGAACATTAAATTCAATAAAAATATCAACTATTTTGTTTCATCTGACTTACAATACCAAATCCTTTTCTGCAACGAAAACGCTAAGGTTAATGCTTAACTGCTGCTGTGTTTTTACTATAAAATGATCTTTAAAGACGTAAGTAAAACCAAGAGATAAGAGACTTGTTTATCTCTCTCTCACACACACGCGCGCACACAGACAGAGGCTGACCTCACAAAGCTCAATTTAAAGGTGACCTAAGTCTGAAAAACAACATTTTTAAAACTGTTTTTAAACAATTTTCAAAACAATAAAATTTCAAACCTGATCAACGTCTTCAAGAAAAATGAAAAACAAAACATTGATAACATTTAAAAAACGACCAAGAGAATGTGGTCCAAAATAATCCAGATCGTCACCTGATGGGAACTGTGAAGCGTCCTGACGAGACCACGATAAAAATACCGAGGGTTGTTGTGACGATAACAAAGATGTGGAGGAAAAACAGACGTTAGTAAGCAAGGAGAACTAACGAAGACTTCGATGTTGTTTTTCAACAAAAACGATTGTGTTTGTTCTATGTTCTGCCTCAGTCTGTCACAGAGAGGCACGACTCTGTGCCTTTAAAGCCCTCTCTCCCTGTGTTAGTGTAGGTCTCTCGATCGCTGTCTCGCTCTCTCTCGCTCTCTTTCCTTCCCCCTCTCTCCTTCTGTGGCGGGTGTGATGGTGAAGATGACTTCGTCACGGTTCAAACAACTTGTCATTGCCTGGCTCCGCCCCGCATCTTTTTCTGTTGCTACAAGTCTGTAGAGGTGTTAGGAGATATGCGTGATCATGGACGCGCAACCACTATTGCGTCACCATGACACGTCTTTTCGTCATTCTCCCACAGGAAAAGGAAGCTTGTGGTTGATTTCCTTTGTATAATAATGATGATACAATGCCTTTAAGAGTAGGCAGGCAGTGGTGGCCTAGTGGTAAAGGAAGCGGACTTCGGTCCTGAAGGCCCCAGGTTCGAATCCACCAACTGCCAGGTTACCCCTGAGATGCACTGAGCATGGCATCGTCCTCAAGCACTGCTCCCCGGGCTGCCCACTGTTCACTTGGTGATGGGTTAAATGCAGAGGTTAAATTTCATTGTGCATGGTGTGCTGTGCTGTGCTATGTCACAAATGATAAATAAAGACAAGTTTTAAGTTTAAGTTTAAGAGTAGCCTTTAAAACAACAACAGGAATAAATATCATTACCAGTAATACTGCTTTAACTATAACAATAACATGTAAATTATTAGGATGTGTGTGTTTCAGGCTAATTCATCAAAAGCCTAGCCACGAACCCAAAACTAAAAAAATACAACGAAAATAAATACAATTTCCTTTTGTACTGTATATATAACTTTACTTAATATTGTTATATTCTGTCTATATTTTGAAGTTAAACAATTTTGTCTTATTTATCTTTTTTATCATTTATTCATTCATGCGTGGTTGCAGGGGAGCTGGAGCCAATCTCAGTTGTGTTTCGGTGAGGGCAAGGCAAACCCAAGACATGTCCAATCAGTGGCAGGGCCACATGCAGAGACAAAGAACCATTCCCACTCACATTCATACACACGTGGACAAAATTGTTGGTACCCCTCAGTTAAAGAAGGGAAAACCCACAATTCTCACTGAAATCACTTGAAACTTACAAAAGTAACAATAAATAAAAATTTATTGAAAATTAAATAATCAAAATCAGCCATCACTTTTGAATTGTTGATTAACATAATTATTTAAAAAAACAAACTAATGAAACAGGCCTGGACAAAAATGATGGTACCTCTATAAAAGATTGAAAACTATTTGACCAGAGTGACATGATTAACTCAGGTGTGTCCTTCAATTGACATCACAGGTGTTTCCAAACTCATAATCAGTCAGTCTGCCTATTTAAAGGTAGACAAGTAGTCACTCTGCTGTTTGGTGAAAAGGTGTGTACCACACTGAACATGGACAACAGAAAGCGAAGGAGAGAATTGTCCCAGGACATACGAAAAAAAATTATAGACAAACATCTTAAAGGTAAAGGCTATAAGACCATCTCTAAACAGCTTGAAGTTCCTGTGACAACAGTGCCTCATATTATTCAGAAGTTCAAGACCCATGGGACAGTAGCCAACCTCCCTGGACGTGGCCGCAAGAGGAAAATTGATGACAAATTGAAGAGACGGATCGTTCGAATTGTATCCAAAGAGCCCAGAACAACCTCCAAAGAAATTAAAGGTGAACTCCAAGGCCAAGGTACATCAGTGTCAGATCGCACCATTCGTCGTTGTTTGAGCCAAAGTGGACTTCATGGGAGACGACCAAGGAGGACACCACTGCTGAAAAAAAATCATAAAAAAGCGAGACTGGAATTTGCAAAAATGCATGTTGACAAGCCACAAAGCTTCTGGGAGGATGTCCTTTGGACAGATGAGACCAAACTGGAGCTTTTTGGTAAGGCACATCAACTCTATGTTCATAGACTCAAAAACCAAGCATACGAAGAAAAGAACACTGTCCCTACGGTGAAACATGGAGGAGGCTCAGGAATGTTTTGGGGCTGTTTTGCTGCATCTGGCACAGGGTGTCTTGAATGTGTGCAAGGTAAAATGAAATCTGAAGACTATCAAGGCATTCTGGAGAGAAATGTGCTGCCTAGTGTCAGAAAGCTTGGTCTCAGTCGCAGGTCATGGGTCTTCCAACAGGACAACGATCCAAAACACACAGCCAAAAACACCCAAGAATGGCTGAGAGAAAAGCGTTGGACTATTCTAAAGTGGCCTTCCATGAGCCCAGATCTGAATCCCATTGAACATCTGTGGAAGGAGCTGAAACATGCCATTTGGAGAAGACACCCATCAAACCTGAGACAACTGGAGCAGTTTGCTCATGAGGAGTGGGCCAAAATACCTGTTGACAGCTGCAGAATGCTCATTGACAAATACAGAAATCGTTTAATTGCAGTGATTGCCTCAAAAGGTTGTGCAACAAAATATTAAGTTATGGGTACCATCAATTTTGTCCAGCCCTATTTCATTAGTTTGGTTTTTTAAATAATTATGTTAATCAACAATTCAAAAGTAATGGCTAATTTTGATTATTTAATTTTCAATAAATTTTTATTTATTGTTACTTTTGTAAGTTTCAAGTGATTTCAGTGAGAATTGTGGGTTTTCCCTTCTTTAACTGAGGGGTACCAACAATTTTGTCCACGTGTGTACCTATGGTCATTTTACACAGTCTGATCAACATAATTCCTAATCTACATAATCCCTAAAAAGAAAACCGGAGTAACCTGAGAAAACATACACACACAAAAAGGGAAAATATGCAATCTCAATAGAGAAAGACCAGGGATATAACCAGTGACCTTCCTGCCGTAAAGGCAAATTATCTTTATTTTATTCATATTCCTTTCTTTTCTTTTCTTTTTACCCATGGCATTCTTGTTTAGATATTTATAGTAGGGGACAAGAAATGCTTTAAGAAGCCAGAGGTATTGTTAAAAGTAATCCAAAGCCAGAACCTAATCAACAAACAACTAAACAATACTGTTAAGATGTTCTAAATACATTTATTCAATCTTTGCAATATATTCATTGTATTAAGTTTCCATATCAATTTATACTGTTATTGAATGGTGTTATTGTGCTGTACTAAAAAGGAAAAGTGCTGAAGACAGGTGTGCAGGATTACATAACAATATGACATGGACAGCACTGAATGGTACCGACTGTTACACTCGGAGATAGAGACAGGACACAGAACCGGTCAGAACTGGTTTCTTTGCCCAAATAAGGAGACCGACGGAAGACCAACAAAAGACAAATAGAGAAAAACATCCGAACTGCATGGTCTTATCTGACTTGATTAACTACAGCACATCCACATAACTCCTATTGGTGGAGAATCCTTGTTTGGAGCAGTCTTTACCAATCAGTACTCAGAAGTTGCGCGAGAACACCACATGGCTGTAAAGGTTAAGGTACTGACCACTGAAGTGTGTGTGTAAAAAAACTGTATTTAAGCTTTGAGCACTGAGTTCCTCAGTGCAGTTCTGACTTTAACCATTGTTCTGCACTCCTTGCTTGCAAGTAAACCTTTTAAAACTTGAGATCTCGTATTTGATTCTTTATTTGATCGGACCTTTATTTGATATTTATTTGAATTTTTTGTGTGTTAGGAAACTGGGGTATGAACTAACAGCATTATTTATAGTCCTATTTAACAGAAAAAGTTTCCTGACAAATACACATTTTAGCCAGAAGATTTCTGTCTAAAATGTGGATTTGCAAATACTTTATATTATAGTATATTAACCATTTGCTCCGAGCTAAGAGCACGACTACGATGAGTTTGGCGAACGAAATGCGGGCCGAAAATATGCGAAGAAAAACGGAAACGCTCAAACAAAAAACCTTCGGGGAGTGCTAAAATATCTAGTCCTGGTCTCAGGATTCTTTCCTGGCATCAATTTCTTCTAAGTAGTGATGTGTCGTTCGCGAGTGATTCGTTCAGAATGAATCTCGGTAGTCACAAGTCATATGAAAGATTTGTTCATATTGAACTCACGAATCACTCACAAATCACTCACTGCGAACTAATCACTCACTGCAAACAAATCACTCTCTGCGAACTAATCTTTCACTGTGAACTAATCTTTCACTGCGAACAACTCACTCTCTGCGAACTAATCTTTCACTGTGAACAAATCTTTCACTACGAACGAATTACTGTGCAAACTAATTTTTCGCTGTGAACTAATCA